AGTAATGATATATAATTAAAACATCACCAAACGTGTCCTGCCCCACGGGTGTTTCTGAAGAAAAGCTTCTCAATCACGGTGGCCCTTTTGGATCTGGCGCAAACTACGCGCCTTCGGCGGCCACTGCAAGGCGTACAGGGCAGCTCGCCACTGTTGCGTCTGCGAGAGACTGAGGACCCGAGGGACCTGACGTGAGAAACTGTCGCTTTCGAGCCGTTGGAGGGCAGGACTAGCCCGATGTTCCCTTTCAACCAGTATCTCGCAAGCCCTTCGAGTTCTAGAGCTTCAAACACATATATATTATATATATATATATAGTTTGGAGATCCACTGATCCACTGACAACAAAATGCAAAGCAGTAGTACATCTGTCCAAGTATCTGTAATTCTTCAGAAAGAACCAACAGACCAAGTCTGCAAAAAAGCCCGCCCGCTTTCAGCACCTTGCCCACTGCGCAGTGTGGAAACACTATGAAACACTCCACACTCTACTTCACCTATAGTTTCTTCTCTACTGTCCCCACCTCCGCAGCATCTCGGGGACATCTTCCGACTGCCCGAGCTGTTCGCTGCATGCCATGGCCGCCATCGCGAGATCGATCACAGCGAATTCCAAGCGCCCTCCCAAGCGCCTTGGGTCTGTAATGTCATGCAATGCCTTGGGTCTGAACTCCTTTTGTTAAGAATTCGTTTTAATGGACATCTCTGGCCGCCCAGCACGGTTAATATGTTAACAGTGGCAGGATTCTCTCACATAAAAAGGGTTTTGAGCTTATCAAAAGCATGTTTGAGTTGATGTGCCGAACTCAGCAACTGTTGGGCCGGCCAGCCAAATGGCGCATCCCTCCACACCAAGGCAAACTGATCAATTCCATGGAAATATGCTTCAAATAGCTGGCCTCTTGGACAGATAGTTGATGAAGACCACAGGTCGGTGGGTATCCAGAAAGAAAACCCCAAGGCTAAGTAAGCCCTTCAGTTGTCAACTGGCTCTCATCAAAGAATGCATTGACGAAAAGAAACACATGCAATTACTGCAGTTGATTGTTAAGGTGTCCAGGTCCCGCTGACAATGGATGTAAGTGCTTTTTCATGCTTTTTGACATGATTGATTGAAGTTTGATTGAACACGTATATCTTGGAAACAAGATGGCCTACCACCCCATCTCCATCACCCGGCATGCCCATTCCCATTCCGCTCCTCAGCTGGCTACCCCGCCCAACCCCCTCCAAACCGCAGACTGCCTTGTGAGATGGGATCCCACTCAGGCGATCGGAACTCAAAGCTCCCCGACTTCACCTGCCGTGTCCATCCGACCGATTCCACCGATGGGGCATGCAGGGGGGCGTTTGGGTATTGAAACAGGGAGAATCCCCCCAAAGACCTGTGGGAAAACCAAAAAAAAAACTAAATCGTACGAAATCGATTGGTCCATTGGTTGGGAGGTCCCCCTCTAAAATGACAAACCCATGCAAACTCTTTTGGGTGGTTTAAAAAGAAGAAGAGCACTCCCAAAAGGTGCTCCATGGTGCTGGGGTAACAAGTGACCCAGCTGCCTGCTTCCTGGCGAATGCTTTCATTCGTGTCCAATCGATGCTTTCAATACATCCTACCAGTTGTTGGAACATTTCCCTTGTCAGCCATAGCCACCGAATACGGCCGACTCCGAATGTTTCCAGGTCCGCAACAAAAAAGGAAAGAAGCCTTCTCTTCTTTCCGACCTTCCCTCCCAAACCCCAGAGCTCCAAAGACCCGCCTTCTTCAGGATCTCGGGATCCTTGTCACCTGCTTTCACGGGGCCGCTTCGTCTGTTTTCCCCCCCCTCCCCGTTGAAACGGAGCGGGGGTCCTCGGCACCAGGGGCCCCGCACCTGCGAAGGGTGGGTAGCCGCAGAGGAGGACGAAGGAAATGACCTGAGGAAACGGTCGCTGCGATTCGGTTTGAACCGGCCAATGGAAAGAGGACCTGTTTCTTACGCTGCCAATTCAAAGGTTCCGTCCCAAAAGAAAACTTGATCAAAATTGGAAAAATTGGCAAAGGAAACAATCTTCCCTGTAAGCTTGTTCCACTTCCATTGTTGTTGGAGGGAAGGTAGCCTTTTTTCTCTGATGGAGTGAATCCCTGTGTGCTTGGGGCTTCCCAGCAGTTTCCGCAGTGGGGTGTGTGGCAAGAACAGATTCATGCATGCCTTTGTAAGGTGCCATCATGAGCTGTCTCTCACCGCCCGGTCAAGGATGCTTGAAGCTGGAAGCTAATCGTGCAGAAGAAGTGGAGGCCACACATCATCAGCATTACCTTCAAGCCTTGGGGGTGATTCAGAGCACCATGCATCTGCATTCTGAAGCCTGAAAGGAGACACACCTTTTCCGCCTGTCTCAGGAATTCATTCTTGGGATCCCCCAGGCCCCCCTGTCCCAGGCCCCTGAGGGGCCCCCACGCCGGCACTCCAGACATCGCCTGGGCGGCAGGAAAAAGGGGTGGGCCGAAGAAAGCAGCACTGGGCGGTGGAGCTGAGGACATGGATGGCACACAATGGCATACACATCGACATGGCCATTTGGCCATGACTGGCGTACACTGGCCATCTAGGTCTATGTGACCACACATTTATGGTGACCGGCCCAGCATCTGCAAGAAGTGCCTTCAAAGTAAACACCACGTTCGTTGAATTCATCGGGAACAACCTGGCCATTGAGAAGTCTTGTTTTGTAGACACCCTCTCAGGATCCAGACATTTCTCATCGTATTCGCCCTTCAGCACCTGGAACAAGGACGTCACTCAACATCGATGGGCTCCAAACAATCGCCTCGAATCAACGAAGCTGTTGCTTGCCAATCATATATGAAAGCAGGTGTGTCACAGGTGTGTCCTGGAGGAAACACCGCACCGGCCGCCAGAAGATTTCCGCGGTTTCTCGGCCCGTGCCTCTGGTGCCACGTAGTAGGCCGTGCCCGCCTTCCGGGATTCATAAGAAGTTCCTTTACTTCGGCCAATGGTCGAGTGACAGTGTGGAACTCCTCCATCCAGAACATCCGTCCACCGCCCCGCCTTGGTGTTCATCTTTGCACCCGGCTCAAACTGGCAGGCAAGGCCAAAGTCGATGATCTGCGGGCATGAAATCACTGGTGACCCCGCATCTGGAGACGCAGCAGTCCGTAGATGCGCCAATATGGGCCATTCCCTCCTCTGGTGACCCGCCATCCCTATCTCGTCGCGGACTGAGAGCGCTCCTGCGCTCGCGCGCGCGCCGCGCCAGATTCCCGACGTTCAAATGCTCCCCTCGATTCCCCACTTTCGTTGGGGCCTTAAGCTGTGACTCAGGCGATGCGTCGTGGAAGAGGAAGTTCTCAGGCTTCACGTCCCGATGCGCAAATCTGGCGGACCGGGATGAGACAACACTTCCCCTGACCTGTGATTGTGGTTTTTGCATACTTTTGGGGGGGTTGTTCACTCGACCTACTTTCCACAACCCTGACCTCTCAAAAACACACAGTTTGACAAAATTGACCCTTGCCCCCAACAAAGATCACTAACGGCCTCTGACCGTGTCAAGAGATGAACATAACAACTCATGAAACAAGAAAGGTCGGCACCTAAAGACAGCTCACATACAACACGCAGCGAAAATGTCAACCTCAAGCGAGGCCAGTCATACTGTCACATGCGATGAGTAGTTCAGATCATGCACAGCCGTCTGACTGTGTCGAGAGATGAACCTAACAAC